CCACCTCCGAGCCCCTGCTCCAGAGCAGAAGCACCGCAGACCAGGAGCACAGCATGGAGGGCTTCTACCAGCAAGCTGTTCTTCAGATGGAAGGCCTCCACCACCAGGACTCAAAGCCTCCGCGTTCCCCCAAAGCTTCCCTCTCCAGCTCATGCAATTCCAGTCAGACTGACTTTAATGCACAGCTGGGTGCTAAATGTGAAGAGAGAGCCAGCTGCAGTTCACACACCGGCCCACTTGTTAAGACCAATGTGTGCCTGGTATCTGCAGGCTCCTTGTCCACCTTAGGGGTGGATGAAGTTGATGTCCCAGCGGCTCAACCAAGGCGCTGTCACAGTATGAGCTACAGGACTAACCCTTACACAAAGCGAACTGGTAGGTGCATGCAGAGAGAGCACATTCAGGCCAATCAGCTTGAAGTCACCCTTGTGGAGGTGAGCTCACAGGTTTGTGTAAACGTTCTTGGACAGGTTGCCGACTCTGCAGAGCAGACTCACCAAAGCTGGCCTCGGCTAGATCTGGGCAACGGCAGACGATACCTGAAACTGGAGAACAAAGAAGACTCGGTGGAAAAACTGCTGGACCAGTTGGAGCACCAGTGCTCTCAGGGGGATACGAGTTTTGGATCTGGGCCTTTCCAGTGATGCTGCAAACCCAGAATGGAATATCGATATCTCGATTTGATTTTAGTTTTCACTTCTGTGCAGGGCAGAGAATAACCGAGGAATATTTGGAGTACGGCCTTTCTATGAAGCATTTGTTGAGCTCTTTCCCAAGCTTCAGCGGAGTATTGATACACAGCGTTTGCTTGGCTAGATGTGGCAGATGTTTTCTATCATTCAAGGAGATGATGAATATCCCTCCCCTACACTGATGCAGCTGAGGGGATCAGTGTTTACTTCTGCTGTTTGGGTTGGCAGCATTGCAATAAATCAGCTTGTATGTTGCCAAAATGTGTTTGCCTGTTTCTGGAACACAGCATGCACAGCCCAGTAAACGGAGCAGGAAGAGACTGTTTACACTGTGCAGTCAGTTCAGAACCAAACTACTCGGACTCCGGAGTCCATGAAGAGAAATGCAACCAGTGTATAAACATGGGACTTTTTCCCTATTCCAAATGCAATGCATGACAGTGATGTACAATATGCAATATGTTGCATCTCAATTCTTATGCAAGTGATGTCATTGTTGGTTTTATATGCATAAGTAGTAACAAATGGTTATTCTGATTTAAAACAACTTGGATCTTATTCTCGTCTGTGTGTAGATAGATGTATACCCATTTCCCTACAGAATCAGTCATGATAACATTGTGCCAACATCAGAAGACCAGCAGTGTCAGCCTGTACTTCATGTTTGCTGTTCTAGTGTGTTACAGCACATCACTGAGAGCTTCAAAATGGACCTTTAATGGTAAAACACTGCAACAAAGAGACAACACCCGATCCAAATCCTGCAGCTGATGACTGTTGACTAATTTTCT